CTACTACTACTACTACTACTACTGCTACTACTATTGTTACCACCATCCCAAATCAGTCCACTGCAGGATAAGGCCTCTTTATTAAAGGTAATGGACCATAATTTGCCGCACTGATCCAGGCACAACATGTACACAAAGGAATCCATGAAATTTATTTTGGATTGCAGTCACGTGCATGAACAGAATTTTTATAATGAGAATACAGTTTTACAATCTGTATTTCTATTATCTTCTCCTTAATTGTAATTTTTCTGTAAAAGTAATATCTCACTTCCGTAGTAAAGGTTATATATTGACCACGTAACGTGCATGTGTGTGTGTGTGTGAGAGAGAGAGAGAGAGCCAGAGCTAGCGTGGTGTAGTGGTTAAGGTGCTGGACTAGGAGTAGGGAGATCCACATTCTAGTTGTCCTTTGTGAACAGAAGCTGGTTGGGTGACTTTGGGTTGGTCACTCTCTCTCTGCTTTATACTGGGAAGTTAAAAACATCTATCAGTCTGCACTGGACCAGGGTGGTAGATTATCATCTGTAATCTTTAGTGATGATTCATTCTGCAGTGGATTGATCTGGGATGATGATGGTGATGGTGATGGTGATGGAGGAGGAGGAGGAGACGAATTATTATCATTATCATTATCATTATCATTATCATTATCATTATCATTATCATTATCATTATCATTATCATTATCATTATCAATTTAGATACCTAGTTGATTAAAAATCCCCAGAAGGATTGTGTTTTTGGTATCTTGTACCATGTATCTTGCTGGCTACTTTCCAATAATATTACAAATAAAATTCACTGTTTCTCTACATATATACATTTGTGGATTCTAAATATCTGCTATTTATTGTAGGCCAAAATGGCTGTAATGTGATGAAATTTCTTATTTAAAACTTGTTCCAGTATTGCTCTTCCTGATTTAATTTCCTTTATCTTAATAGATCAAAAGGAATGAAAACTCAGCTGAATCCTGGTATATTTGGGTCACAGCAAAATTTCAAAGAAGATAAAGCAAAACCTGTGAAAGATGAATATGAATATGTCTCAGATGATGGAGAACTGAAGATAGATGAATTTCCAATTAGAAGGAAGAAAAACACTACAAAAAGAGATTTGTCATGTAAGACTGTTTCTACTCTTGTGTAAACAAACCAAAAACAACAACAACAACAAAAAGAGTGCTGAGGATAATTTTCTATTCAAAGTAATGACTAAGGAATTCTGTGTGTGGCCCTCAGAGTTGCCAAAAGAGGGTTGTCTTAAGCAGATGTCAAGGCACTGACTACTGCAGGTGTGGGTATAATTGTTTGGACAGTGTCATTTTTTCCAGCTTTGTTTAATCTGTTTGCAGATTGGTTACATATTTTGGTGATTCAGTATGTGTGATGAAGACCTTTTAGCTAATAGTGCATGTGCAGAAATGAATTATTACCAATGTAGCTGGAAATACATTTTAAAAATAAAATGGATTGGCTACATGCTGGTTTTACATTTGAAATATAAAATCTATATTTCAATTTCTTTCTAGTTTTATCAGATAAAAAAGAGACCACACAGCACACTCCAGTTAAGAAGCCAAAAGTGGAATCAGTATTATACAAGGTATTCTGTCAGTTTGTAATTGCTCTCATCCCTAATAGGATTTGTGCCGCTTAAACAAAATTATAGACATACATTGTATATTGATTGCTTTTATACACTGACAAGAAAGGTATTTTCTTCTTATAGCAATGCACATTTCTTTCCTAGAAGACCTTAACATCCATCTATGTGCTTACAGGGGCTTCCATTAAAGTGAAGGGACTTTGCTTTCCTTTATCTTTCATTCCTTGCAATCTTCTTCAGTTGTTCTTCAGTCCTCTGGAATGGATTTGGAGGGTACATGCTGAAGGAAAAATCCATGTCAAGTGTCCTTTCCAGTGATGAATAAATACAGTTGGACACAACACTATATTTATCACTTGGTTACACAGAACGAAACTTCCCCAGACAGGGTTGAGGAAGTTTTCTCCTGAAACCCTGGATATCTATTGCTAGTCAAATATTAATTATGTTATGCTAGTTGGATGAATGATTTGACTGGCTTATGGAAACGGCTTAAGTCTGGAATCTAGTGCCCCTCCAGTGGCCTTCAGCTCTTATAAGAGTTCTATTTTTCTCCTCTTCCTGGTGCAACCCTTTGCTCATTAATAATAATTAATAATTCTGTGGGTTAAAGAATCCTTAAGAATTGGATTTGAGGATATACCGACAAACAAGAATTGTCTTTCTCTTGGTACATCAATAGAATCCAGTAGAATTATTTGGACTGTATCTAGATTATTAAAAGTAGTGTTTATTTTCCAAAATCATTTTTATAATGATATCTGTCAAATAACTGCTAAGTGGACATGTATTGGGTTTTAGTACCGATTAGCATAATTTTTATTTATTTGTTGTTTGTTTGTTTGTTTAGCACCTTTACATAGCCACCCATCTCGCAGAACATGACTCTAGGTGGTGTACAACCACAGTGACAATTAAAACAATATAACACCAAAACACTAAACATTAAAGTACAAATTAAAATTTAAAAAAAATAGAAAAAAGATTGTGGGAGAATACCAATCAACTCATATAATACAACCACCTTGCAGACTCTCTGTGGGATTCCCAAGGTTGTGGAAAAACCACATTTTAAGGGCTTTCCAGAAGGCTAACAGGGATGGGGCTAATCTCACCTCAGGGGGAATGATGTTCCAGAGGGCAAAGGCCACAGTGGAGAAGGCACATCTTCTGGATCTCATCAGATGGAACTCCTTAGTAGACAGGACCCTCAACATACCCCTCCTGCTGGACCTGATGGGACATGTAGTTATAATTGGGAAGAGGTGGTCCCTCAGATAACCTGATCCCATGCCATGTAGAGCTTTAAAGATCAAAACCAGCACTTTGAATTGCACCCGGAAGCAGGCTGGCAGCCAATGCAGCTCACAGAGCAGAGGTGTGATGTGCACCATCCTGGGGGCACACATAACTGTCCGCGCAGCCACACTCTACACCAGCTGAAGCTTCTGGATGCTCTTCAAGAGCAGCCCCATGTAGAGCATGTTACAGTAATCCATTCTGGAGGTGATCAAGGCACGAGTGACTGAGTTATACTCTTTTTCTTTGGCTTTTGCAGAGTGATGACTCCTCTGATGAAGATTCTCTTCACATTGACACAGAGGCCAAGCCAGGGCGCAATTCTAAAGCGAAGAAAGAGACTGGAAGTTCAGCAGGCATTCTAGATCTTTTGCAGGCAAGCAAGGAAGTTGGGGGTTTAGAGTACAACAGCAACAGGTAGGCGTAAGGGAGGTATGACCTCTAAATAATACGTGTTTATAATATTTATTTATTTATTTATTTATTTATTTGGTTTATTTAGTCGCCCATCTCACACAAGTGACTCTGTGTAGCTTACAAAGATTAAAACACAGAAAACCCACCACATGTAATCCCTCAGTGCCCAAGAATAAACAAAAAACACATCAATAACAACAGACCCAAATGCCTGGGGAAAAAGCCAGGTCTTCAGTGCCTCGTGAAAGTCTAGCAAGGTTGGGGTCAAATCTCTGGGGGGATGCTGTTCCACAAGGGAGGCGCTGCCATTGAGAAGACATGATTCTAAGGTCCAACAAGATGGCATTGTTTGATACAAAGGACCTGGAGCATGTCCTCTCTTCTAAATCTGATGGGACATACATATATAGACATTAGCCATGCTATTCCATAATAAATATATATCCCTTTGAGTGAATTTTTATTTTTGTTGTTGCTAGCATTTTTTGTCTCATGCCTATAGGCAGGCAATTGCAGAATGCGTTTGCAGTACAGTTAAGAAACTAGAATGCATCCTATTAAAAGTGCTGAAAATCTACCACAAAAATCCTATTATATTTTGAATACTCTAATTAAGAGAATATAAGAATCACTTAATTTATGTAGAAAAATATATTTTACTCATTTGCTCATTCTCCTAATTATTGCTTCTTTGGAAGGATGCACTAGACAAAGTTGGCTTGAAAAGCCCAGGAAAAAAAAGCAGAGAAGTCTGTTTTTTAAAGGAAAACAGTTGCTGACAGGCGCAACATGCATCTACATGTACTCTAAACCACCTTTTCCTGTCCAAACTGAGATCACTGCACAACCTATTGTTTCACATTTAAACTGCAGCCTATGGTGGTCCATTTTCCTGGACCATTTGCAGTTCTGGATATGAAGTTTGCAAAGAACTTACAGGACTTGTCCTTGTACTGAAATCAGAATCATTTTAATAGATACAGTATAATTTCTCAAAGCAGCACAACTTTTCTGCCTGTATATACCCTTTATATCCGAAAATGATGGAGAATTTTGTGGCATCTTAAAGATTAGCAAATGTATTATGGCAGAAACGTTCCTGAGATACCTCCATTTCACTAGTGCATTTAAGGCTGCTCAAGACAACCTGAATTCTTTAATGAGGAATTAGAATCCATTCCTTCTGAATTACATCTCACATAATGTATTTTAGTGATTAAAGAACACTGGGTAGATATATAGATTTAACCAATGTTGGTAGATTCTGTTTTACAACACATCATATACAATCCCTAAAAGCCTTAACCCTCCAGAACCTAGTCAAAGACTGCCACCACATTATAACTATTTAATGAGTAGTGGGAGAAATGATTAAATATGCAAGAGTAATTATATGGATTACATTTAATATAATTTAAGTTGCATTAAAATCCAGTATAATCAATTTGGGAAGATCATCTGATCTTGTCTACTTTTTGGGGATCACCCTCAATATCCCACCAAAGAGCAAATGCACATCTTAGCTCCCCCACTCCTCAGCCTAGGTTGTGTATCTTTGCTCAAGGCTAGGCACTGCTCTAGTTCCAGTATTTGTACCTTAGCTATCTGGTGCATGCAAACATTGGTAATCCATTGAATTGATGATCTCTGATTTGTTGGGAGAATTAATTTAATAGTTTTTTTTTTACAAAAGGGACATTTTGCTGATTAAATTGTGACATTTAATCTCACAATTAATTTCAAAGTAGATCATTATGCAATTGCTTCAAACAAAGAATTAGGAATAAATGAAACTCCTGAAGAACTCAAGGTATAAACCATCTCTGTACTTTATTGAGAAGTACTTCTAAATCAATCTGGAGCTGATTAAGCAAATCTTGATATCATTAAATCTAGATTTGAGACATTTCTGGACAAAATACCCCTTCCATTGTGGGAAGAATCCTTTGAATTGCACAAGTGTCTGGTGGCTGAGTTTTGCTGCACTGTAGCATCTCACAATGTATTGGAGTAACCCTATTCTGGAGCAATTTAGAAAGCTAATATAGCAGTTGATCTGACTGCTCAGTACTGATCGTTGACTAGATGCAGTTTGTCTGTCTAAATCAGTATCTATATAAACATTAACCTTCTGGGATAAATGAAACCACAAGCAGTTACACAAAGATGCAGGTATTGATACTGGTTTCATAGCTAGAGAGATGCTAGATCTCTCTGTAGAAAGCAAGATGTTGGAACTGAATTTGGAGAACCTCCAGTCAGGCACAAATTTTGGGGCCCGTGTTGTAGAAATAATACATCAAGGTACAGAGTAATGGTTCATCGATGTTTTTTTTCCCCCAATAAGGTTTCTAATACTTACTTTTTAACACAACCATGTTGTCTTTCTGAATTATTAATAGTAGATTCTTGATACAGCAGAAATGGAAAAACAAATGGACTGTGTCTGGATAAAAAAACCTGGAATAGCCTTTTGTGCTTCACTTTTGGAGAAATAGCTATCATTTGTAATGCACTGGAATTTATATTATAGTTATATACTCTTTACAGAGAAATATTTTTGTAATTTTATATAGAATTTTTTTAAAATCTACATATGAGGCATAAACTGAACAGTTAAGGTCTGCTTATTCAAGGTAAAAGTGGAAGAATGACAGAACTAATCATAGTTTTGATACATAACAGGTAAAATTAGCTATGAGTTGTTGTTTTTTTTTACTGTATAAGCTGCATTTTGTATAATTATCCCCTCTAGATACCATTTTAAATTTAATTAATACTAATGAACAAAAGAAAAGTACAACAGGATTATATACAAAAGCATTAAAGGATCAACACAACCTCACATTGATAAACATGACAATAAAAAAGAGAAAGGAGCGGGGGGGGGGGGGGGTTAGGCCTGGAAATTATGTTATAAACAGAACAACTCCAAAAATGTTGGCCAAATTGCTCAAAATTCTTCTTCCTTGTACATGGCTGAAAAAAAAATTCATTCAAATGTTGACTGTCAACACATACCATACATATGTTTTAAAGGAACCAGGAAGTTTCCTGAGGTTTTGGAGTTCTATGATTATATTATTTTCAATGTAATGTCCACCCACAGTTCAAAGCTGCCATTCAGCCAGAGAACTAGTCTTAATGATGTGTAGAATGTGGCACCGGCCATTCACTACATATCAAAAAGCTCTCCTTCAGCATTTGCTTTCATTAAAGAAAAATATATTCTAATAATCACTAAAACTACAAAAAGGGGATATGACTTTCCAGACTTTAATAATTGTTTCCTGTTTTATATTTCACTTCGAGCAGATCCAGCTTAGAATTGCTAAGCTGCAAATATTCTTAATGAAAAACACATTGGGCACAATCCAATGTAAGCACCCCTTGCACAGATCTCAATGATATTAAGGAAATTGTTCAAGAACAGGGCAACAGAATCTTTAAGCCCACGGCAAAGTGACAGGCAGTTAAATTAAAAATAACACAATCCTTCAGGAGCCTCTTCCATTTCAGTTCTATTTAAATAGATGAAGTTTACTCAGGAGAGGCTTCAGTGCTTGTGCTTGAATGCTCTGTCACTTTAAGAGTTCATGAAGAACTTGGTTTCCCTCTCCCTCCCCAGCCACTGGTTTTGATCAGATCCCACAATTTATTTGCTAACGCTCACCTTGCTTTAGGCAGTTCCTCTCTAATGTTCCCATTTGGCAGGCAGCTTTTGATGGTCCATTTACATTTGATACAGGGTTCAAGGTTTTAAGAGAGCTCTTGGAGAAAACAAGCAAATGTCTTAAATGCTCATGGAGTTGATAATGGTAAAAACAAAACAAAACAGATCTGCTAATTTTTGGTATAGCACTACAAAAGGGACAAATTCCTTAAAACACCAACTCCACCCAAAAGTGATCCAAACATAACATGCTGAACATCATAGAATGTCTTTCCTGAGTTTAACATATTCCAGAACAGTATTGTATTGTATTGTATTGGCTGTCTTCTCACTAACTTCTCTTTTGAATTCATTTTCTTAATGAGGGGAAGCAAGTGTTCACCCATATCCTGTCCTGCTAAAAAAGAGCTACTGTTGTTCTTTTCATTTCTTCAAGTCCCTCACAAGAAAATTGACTTATAAGTAAACACAGTTGCATGCAAGCTGACACAACTTTAGCATGATACAAAGTTAAACACTACACCTTTCTGCAAATATGAATGCATGCTTACTATTTATGGACAGCTGTTTATGCATTCAGAATAAATAATGAACATGGCAGGTGCAAAACTCTGGACACCCTTTCAGTCAGTACTTTCCAACACCTTCTTTGGTGGAAATAGCAGTTTCACAATGTTTTCTGTAACCAGTTAAGAACCTTTGAGATTTTTTTTTTCTCATTCTTCCTGCAGAAGTCTTCTAGCTCAGAAATATTCTTAGGTCTCCTCTATGCATTGCATGTCTGAAATTTCCCTCACAAGTTTCAATAATATTCTAGTCTGAGGACTGTGAGGGCCATTCCAAAACTTCTCTTTCTTTCCTGTCCTTCATGGTTGATTTGGAGATATGGTTTGGTTTGCTTTCTTGCTAAAATAGCCAGCCTGTTGTCATCGTCAGTTTCTTCACTGATTGTGGGACATTAGCTTCTAGGATATGTTGATATTTAGTTGAATCTATTCTTTCTTGTACCCCCAACATTTCCTATGCCAGTGACTGTCACACAACACCAAAGCATAATACAGCCATTTTCATGCTTCACCCCTTTTTTCTCCAAGTGTATCTTGTGCAGTTGTAGCCAAATAGTTCAGTTTTGGTTTCCTCAGTACAAGGAACTTTTGCTTTGTTTTATTTTAAAACATTTCAGGCTTATCAAGTGTTCTGTTGCATACTTTAAATGATGACTTCTTGTGAAGTCAGAGAAAATGTTTCCTTCTTCCGTGCAGATCACTGTGGTATAAGCAATGTTGCAGCGTGGACCTGTGGACAGCTACCCAGTGGCATCTAAAATTATACCGGGTCATCTGCAGTGATCCGTGGATTCTGTGTTGCAGTTCTGATCAGGTTCCAGGCAGTTCTAGAAGAGATTTTTCTTGGTCTTTCAGTTCTTGCCTGGTTTTGCCTTCAAGCACTATGTGCAAATTCCATTTCTTTACAGTGTTTCTCATTTGAAATTGCTAGCTGGAAGTACTTAGATAATTTTTTTGCCTACTCCTGCTTTGTAAGAGTGAATTGATGGAGCCATTCTTGAAAATAAATAAAACAACAATTACAGCCAACCAAAACATGAGAAATTCAAGGGGAGAAACTATGTGCTTCCCGCTGGACTTGTTTTCGCTTGTCTGTATTTTACCTATTTCAGCCCTTTACTTTGTAAGGAAAAAGAGAATAGCATTGAATCAACTGAAAGAGCCATCCATAATTCCTAATTTTGCAATGAAATGTAATATCAGAACATCCATGCTAGAATTTTCATTAAAATTGTCCCTTGGGACTTCTGTATTTAAATATACTGGATGGATCCAATTAAAATATTCAATTGATAGAACTGTTTCTTTCAGCAGAACTGGGAACAATGATGTCTTCTTCTAGAAGAAGGAAATGTTGGAAGTTCAGGCGGGAGGTGAAAGTGCTCTCATGTTTCAGATGAACCTCTGAAATCCCCTTCTGCTGGTTTCTGTAGGTTTCTCTCCATAATGTCCAATCTGATTCTGTACATTTGCTTATGGGGGATTGACCTGTTTGGCCTAAGAAGGTGGTGGAAAAGAGCAACAGATATTATAGTGATGACATAGATGCAATTTATGGCATTATGTATTTATTCTGTAACTCCTATATGTGTTTTAATTTGAAAGGTTTCGCTTTTCCCTCTTTCTTTTCTTTTAGTCAACCACCTGCATCTCCCAGCACACAGGAAGCTATCCAAGGAATGTTGTCAATGGCAAATCTCCAGTCTTCAGAGTCCTGCCTACAGCCTTCATGGGGCACCAATCAAGCTAAGAATAATTCTATCTCTGCCCCCAATTCCAAAAAATCTGGAAGCAGCAACAGCAAAAATGCAGGCAAACGATTATTGAAAAAGACTGCAAAAAACAACATTGATATCGAAGATTACGATGAGGACCAGGACCACTTAGATGCCTGTTTTAAAGATTCTGATTACGGTATGAAAAGCCTACTTAAGTTCTCGCCTTGATAGTGATTGTTGAAATATACTTATGCAGTGAAATGTCTGAAGATAGCTCATCTGAAGTGGAAAACAGTAGCACCCTGTTTCTTTGTCAGAGATCCTGAGGCAGAGTCCCAAATGTTTGCTGGTAGTCTGTCTTGCGCAGCTGATTCAAAGTGAACATTACATTTGCTCATCAACTTTGACTGCATTTGGCAACTTTCTCCTTGTGACATAGGAGTGGGAGTTCACTGCAAATTTTGCAGCTGAGATCATATTTCAAATTTACAAAGTAAGTTTAGGGAAGTGTTATGTCTGAATGTGTGTTGAGGCTTATCACACATGAGTTTTTGAAGGAATCTGAGCATCAGTTCCAAGACATAAGAGCTGCATATCATCTCTGAAACATTAATTAGCAGTTCCCACGCTTACTTTCTGCCCTAATTTGGTAGCAAAATTGCAGAGAGTTAGGTAAGCAGCAGGCTAATTCTATATAGCTTCCTCACTTGGATAGTGTAATAAAGGCTGTTTGACCCAGGCTTCGTTGAGTTAGTTTTAGGCTGTTACCAAACTGGGTAAACATTCAAATGATTTTCCCTTGTGTACCTGTGTGGGGATAATTTCTGATGCCTTGACAGAAAACATTCCTTTATGATAATTAAAGCAGATTCCAAGAACTGGGCATCTGTAAGTTCAGAACCATAACTTTAGCTTCGCTATGCAAAACAAAATTTGTTTTCACCAAGTCTTTGTTCAAGAAAGTTATTGCAACTTCTGATTGTCCTTATCAACCATAAAATCCCAGTCCAGAAATGTGTAGACAGATCTCTCTGTGTTCTTCTTCTTCATCCTGTCAATTAACACTTTGTCTTCCTGTTTCCAGTCCATGCTGTATCATATTCTATAAATTTTAAAAACAGCTTACGTTGCAACATGCAAGTTCAATTTGGGGGGGGAGGGCGGGGAGAAAAGGAGAAACTTGTGTGCTGCTTTTTAAAATAAGTGATTGAGTGATTCGAGGCACTGAAGTAATGCTTCATCAAAGTTAAAGTAATTTCATTTTTTAAATGGAATGTTAAGGGTGGAAAGAGAGCCAGTTTGGTGCAGTGGTTAAGGCACCAGACTAGAACCCAGGAGACTATGAGTTCTAGTCTTCCCTTAGATATGAAAGCCAGCTGGGTAATTTGGGCCAGTCATTCTCTCTCAGTCTTAGGAAGAAGGCCATGGCAAGCCACTTCTGAAAATATTGTCAGGAAAACTGCAGGGACTAGTTCAGGCAATCACCAGGAGTCAAGACTGACTCAAAGGCAGCAAAAATTAAAATAAAGTGACAGACTTTGAGGTGTCTGTAAAAGTAGATGGATATACTATTATTTAGCTTCTAAGAAATATACATATTTTAGGAATGTACACAAAATTCAATTAAAATAGTTGTCTTTGATGCAACCCCTTAAAAACATATAATTTGTCTCTGCTTTCAGCATCTAATGTGCTGAATATTAAAAATACATATTGAAATCTTATGAAATTAAATGAAAACGTGACTCCTCATTGTACAGATTTGACAAAACATAAACACATGTTAAAATTACAGTATCTGAAGATATATCACTCAAGTTACATTAACTTTAAAACTTTGCAGAAGTATAATGTAGAGACACGCACTTAATGTGACATCCTGAAAGAAGAGAAGATTGTACTGGGGAGATAAACATTCTAGCTAATTACATATTTATGCTACCACTTAATAGGTCTGCTTTGTTGTAAGATGGTTTATTCCACCAAGGTTCCATTAGTGCTACATCTGGTCAGCACATTTTCAGTTAGCGGCTAAACTGTGCAGTTATTCCCAGTGTATATATAGTATTGCCCTAGCAGAAGAAATGAAAACAAAACCTCCATTTTGGGTAGGTTGTTCAGTTAACTTGAATTTATTTCAAACCATAATGCAATTTAGCCTAGAAACTGAGGATTATTGAAAGGAAAAAAGAAATGTCCCTACAGAAGTGAAAATGGAATGTTAGGGAGCTTTGTTGCAGAGAAAGCAGTATTAAAATAATTTCTGTCTAGTTATAGAGTAAGCTTCTCATATAGGTGGGATAGATTTTAAATATTTTTTAGCGTAGTGGTTAGAGCATCATCCTTTGATGCGGAAGACCAGGGTTCAAATCCCAGCTGGTACCTACCTTACAAGTAGGAGTCCTTGGGCAAAGACCCCCTAACGCTTCACCTACCTACCTCGGGTATGAGAGTGACATGAACTAAGAGAGTCATGCCAGCTTGGACATCGCCCAGATTAATAAGGTCCATGCCAGATGTTGGGGAACCAGTACAATCTAATGATCACATGCTTGTTAAAAAAAATCCAGCTCCTCCAATGAATTCTTTTGCTGGAATTCACTTAACAACCATGCGATTTGCTTAATGACCATCATAAAATGGTCATAAAATTGGGTCCAGTCACATGATGACTCACTTAATGACCATGCCACTTAATGACCAATTTTCTGGTCCCTATTGTTGTTAAATGAGGACTATCTGTATAATATATAAATAAATCAATCCCCTCTCACTCCTATGGGTGGTATGTCTTCCTCATTCTCAAGGCCTCTACCAGAAGCCTGGGAGTTTGAGGGTTCTGTGTAGTATCTTCGCTGATCCTAGCACTGCACTCTTCTGGACAGAGATGTTGTCCTTGGGATCTGTTGGAGCCACTTGAATAGCAGAATAATTCTGCTGTTTTCCCCAATGCAGGAGGCCAGCCAGCTACAAAATAGAGAAGAGGCAGGAAGCTATGCCAGTAGCTATATCTGTTGCTGCTTAAGGTTCAGTAGCATGGAAAGGCCAAAGTCAGTTATGCTGCCAAACTGTTGTTTGAGAACTGATGATATTAGTCAGTTTTCTACAAGGATGAAAGGGTTGCCCTAATTTCTAATGCCATTCCAGGCTCTCTTATTATTATTTTTCATGTTTTAGTTTATCCCTCCCTTGAATCAGATGAAGATAATCCAGTGTTCAAATCCCGATCAAAAAAAAGGAAAAGTTCAGATGATGCACCATACAGCCCGACAGGTAATATTTTTAATATTTTTAAATGCAAACTCATATAAGATAAACTCATCATAGATTTCAGTGATTTTAGTGTGGAAAATATCTTGCTCTAAGTAGTTTGTCCTGGCCTGTTGGCACCCAGTCTGTTTTCTTTACTATCTTTTAGTATTACAAAAGACAAAAGTAGAAAGAAGAGCATTACTATTTTCTGGATTGGGTTTTGGAGATCAGAAACATGGTATTCTTGAAGAATTTCTACAGAGTTTTTTGGATCTAACTAAAGTCTTTTCAAACCAATTTTGTATTTTGTGCACTAATCGTACAGTGGCTCTGCTTTTAAATTTCTTGGAATATTCTGAGAAGTTTTGGGGCCAAATACTCCAAAGTGCTTTGAAACACTGAGGATCCAAATCATACTCAGGACTCAACTAGTTTTTTTTTGTCCTTCCCGGGGGGTGGGGAGGGAAGAACTGTGGGGACCAAGGGAAAGTTTGCTTTGATTACAAGAACTTAATAAAGTTTTTGCGAAAATCCATTCTATTATTTCTTCATTTCAGGAATCTAATTTAGGATCTGATGGAAAACCTGGGCATCAGAATCCTTGTTCATTTACTGCAGATCATAGAGCTATTTATCAGAGTTTTGCTTACTGAACAGACTTTTTTAAACCTCTCCCTTTCTCTATTTTTTAAACCTCTCTCATCCTGTAATTAAATGCTCCTAGACTGCACCATACTCTAGAACCTGGCTAAAATGGGATTGGGTTATTTGTGGTTTGGCACAAATACAGCCAATGCAGGCATTGTCTTAGCATCTTGTGGGAATCAGGCCATCACATTAAGCCATAATAAATGGACATAGCATGTTATGTGATCATAGTAATATGTTTGCTTAACCTAGGTTTAGCAGTTTGTGGGAATCCAACCTATATTTCATCTTTTATATTAGAGTTTATATTATTTGTTTCTTTGCAGTATTTGAAATAGTTAAGGTCCTGTCATTAGCAATATGTGTGGATTGTATATGTACTCTACTCTGTTACCTTTACTGTTTAATTTTCCTTCTGCATTTAGCAAGAGTTGGTCCATCAGTACCACGGCAGGACAGACCAGTCCGAGAAGGTACAAGAGTTGCTTCTATTGAAACTGGACTGGCGGCAGCTGCTGCCAAATTATCTCAGCAGGTGAGCTTTCCAAATAGGGTCCTACCATCACCATCCCAAAATGTTGCTGTTTGGCAACCAGTTTTTGTGGTTTCTGCTTTTAGTATAAAGAATTGTTCTATTTTGCAATCCTCAGCCAATGTTTAGGATTGCCTCAGTAAAGCATTTTGAGACTTCTTAGAAATTAGAGGAACACATACAGGGCAGAAAGTAAGGTAAAATAAGCTTCAGAATGCTGCAAAGCTTGGATACACATAAGTGATTACTCCCAGTGGCATCTGGGGAGAGCAGCAGGTTTAGGTCCACCCACATGAATTTACTGCTTCATTCCACTGAGTGGTAGGGTTGACCATTAAGTACTGCTGAGGAATTGCACAAAGATGCTTTCAGGCTAGTAGATTCAAGTCTGAAGGGTTCAGCAGTAGATTTAGCCAGTCTCCATGGCATCACCCAGAATCCAAGCAGAAGCTTCAAAGTTTCAGAGAATTTCAGACATGTTTGTTTTGTATTTCCCGGAAAGGAAGGATTACAAAGATTATCATAGTAAGGAGTAAGGCATAATTTAATAATGCTCTGGTTCAGAACTAATATGATAACTTTATTGAAATTCAGACTTAACCTCAAATAAAAGGCGTGTAAAGAATTTTCTAAATTAAAATCATTTTAGAGAAAAAATTAACTAATATTAATAGAGGCAGCTATCTTAAGATAGGAATTGCTTACTGTCATGCTTTCCAGCTACCAAAGATAGATTGCAGTCCTGTTAATGTTAATCTGGTGATAAGGTCTGCTGTATACAGTGGAACGTATTTCGATAGCACACTCAGGATTTGCATTATTTGTTGATAACAATTAGATTCAGGCACACTCAGTGAAAGCACCTGATCTATAGTATGTATGGAACACCCTTAAATATGCCAATCCAAAATGACATTTATATTGCAGAGGATTATCTATAGATTTGACTAAATTTATCATTACTTTGATTGATGCTTCCCACACACACACTTTTTTTTTTTTTTTGGCAATAATAAACCTAGCACTGGCAGCAAGAACTGAATCAATTTTTAAAAATTTATTTATTAAAACATTTGGGGAAAAACAGAATAAATAATAACTAAAAGAAGTAAAATAAGAATAGTGGATAAAAGAATAAAATATCAAAGAATAAACAGGTAGTTTACAATTGTTATGAACTTTGAAGTTCAGTATTTGATTATGTAGAAATGAGTACATTGTATTGTTTAAAAATTAGCTGGAAATATCTATAAAATAACTATGAAATCTCTGTAAAAAGATATTAGTATCACCGCTATTTATCATTATTCCGAGGCTAAATGCACATAATCATATAAAAAAACAAAATAGAAAAATAGAAAAAGAATCAATAACAACATTATTGGAAAAATCCTCACTTTCAAATTCCTTCCCATTGTACCCCAACTTATAATTACAATCAATATGTTTATAAGCATTGAACTTATTTCTGATTGTAGTCCTTACATCAATTGTTTTCTCCATAATTTAAGTGTCTAAGTTTGCCTTGTTGTGTAACGTATGATATACAGGGGAGCTGTTCTTGCTTAAATCTGGTCAAGCTTCTGTTCTGCTGAGTCAGTTTTAGAAGTTGTATCAATTGATCTGCATTAAAGAATATGGACAGTAAAGGTTGTGTACCTTCAAAAAACAATGCTGCAAATTCTGGCTTCAACTTTTTTTGTGACATCATTATTTCACAGCCCTTCCCAATGAAGCCTACCTGGTTTTTGTTTGCTTAGTTTGGTTTTTAAAGTAGAGCTGCTGCCTAGCAAGACATTGGATAATATGTATAGCTTTACTGACTTCTAAAAGCTAAATACTGTGTTTTATTTCTTAAGGTTTTGTGTGCGTGTGTTTATTTTTCTCTGTCACAAAGGAATCACTTATGATTTCTAAAAAACATAAGAACAATTCTAATCATTAACATGTTTTCAACAAGCTTAAAGTACTCACAGAGATAACAATACAACTCATGGAAAAACTTACACAACAGGCAAATATCTGTGGAACATTTCAGGATCAACACCCTGAATTGTTCTGGGAAACTGACAAGTTATTTGGGGTGGGATTAGAAAATCAGCTCCTTGTTTTTTTTAAAAAAAATCTTCAATTCTTCCTCTTTGTCTGCATTTTTCACAGCGCACATCAGTTCTCTTGCATACATCCTTTGAGTAGGACACTTTCCTTAATGACCATTTATCGCTCTTTGGAAGCTAACGATAGATCCTTGTCTCTCCTCCGCCTTTCTCTCTCTCCCTCCCTCTCACACCCTTTGAAAGGAGGAGCAAAAGGGCAAGAAGAAAAAGAACACCAAAAAGAAGTTATCTCCCAGCAATGCCAATAAAGTCCCTCAGGAAGGCAGCTCTCCTGAACCCAAGCTGGAGTGCCATAGCAGTAGCTTAGCAGACCATGAGTACACAGCTGGTGCCAGCACGCTTGGGGTGGCTCAAGTGAACAGAGGATCTCAGCCCATGGCCCCAGGAGTTTTCCTTACACAACGGAGAGCCTCATCGTCCTCGCAGAATAATGCAGCTGCCAAAGGTACTTTCCATAGATTTGTCTCGGAAACGGTGTAAGATCTGATCAGCCAACCACAGGCTTTCTTTGTGAGGCTGGAATTGTTTTATGTAATCGAGTTGGAAGGAGAGTTCTCCTATTGCTTTTAAACACTCTTCAGATGTTCTTATTATGCCCGTATGCAATAAGCTGTGTGAAGGACAAGTCTGTGTACGTTTGTTCCTCATCTAAAATCAGGGATAGGCAAACTTTGGATGGTAGTGGAAGAAATTATGTATATAAGTACAGTATATCTACTTTACCGTGGGGGAAAACTGAGGAGGACAGTAGGCAAAATAAATGGGATTGTGCCATGTACTTGGCAAGGGCAGGATTTATATTGGATCTTTCCCTGCCCCCCCTCCTGCCCAAGGGATTTGCCTGTTCTAGGGTTTACCTCTAATTTCCATGTGTTTCCCATCTCAAAATGGAAGGAAACTGCACACTCCTTTTCAGCAATTGCAGGTGTGGCTCTGGGTGCCACAGGAGGGACTGGAGGTAAGATGTAGCCCAGGAGGTCTCGGGTTCCCCATCCTTGCTTACCTCAACACATCCTTCATTATTTTTCTATTTTATTTTATTATTTTAACAAGTACTTGAAAGCACAATCAAGAAAAAAGAGGAGAAAAGGAATAGAAGAGATTTATAAGCTGCATCACATGGAATAAGAATGTTCAAAGTAGCATTAGATTAGTGTTGTACATAAAGGTGTTCTTCTATCAGTGTAGTACTTTAAAAACCACTGTTAATATCAAATCCATATTCAGTAATTAACAGAGGCAAGCAGTATAATAAAAATCCTCAACTGGAATAAACAGTTAACAAGGCATTTGTATCTTATCCAAGATAGTCTATCTGTATTATAAAAACGTACTATTCATAGTAAATTATATCTATCTTTCATAAGTATTCTGATTGTTGCATATCAAAGGTCATGTTTAAATTCTGCATCCATTTAATCATACAGTCTTTGACTTGTTCAGTTTCTGAATATTAAATATTATTTACAATAATCCCTACGTAGTGTTCTGAATTTTGTGTTATAAGCTTTTCAAATTCAATTAGGTCTCAGAATGTTGTTTTTGTAGTTTGTTTTGAACTATACTACTTATTTGAAGACATTGAAACCATTGAGGCATTTCTGAGAATCTCAAAGGATTTCATGTTTCTTTTGTTAGGAGTTAAAATTTATAAAATTAAAATATATAAAATTGATTAAAATGTCATCAATCAATGCTTACTGTATTTTTAAAGTAGATTCCCAGGTATTTGATCAGGTTAACAGTGAGGTTAAAACCCTGGTCTTTGCTGTAAATATTGCTTTTCCAATTCAGATAAGTTAAAAGTAATAATTTGAATCATATTAATCTGATATCCCAATATGCCCTTCACATTTGTCTGAAAATTAGTACCTATCTTCAGCTAATTTGAGGCTCACCTTCATAAGGGGATGTCTGCATGCCATGCTGAGTGCTACATTCATGTTCTGATGAACATGAGGGTATCTCCCCTACAGACCCAGTGGCGAAAGGAAATAAAGGAGGAGGTAGTGCCAGAGAAATCTACAAGCAAAGAGAGCCAAGATAATTGCATCTTTTACATAGTTTAGTCCTCAGAAATCCATTAAATATACTTGAAGAGAATTTTAGCTGTCTATATTTTGTAACTTCTTTCTAATCGCTTTCATGAAGATTTTTCATTCTTACAACTGGCAAATCAAATCTCCTTTAAACTTTTTTTCCAATGGAATTGGGTAAAATATGGGTATAGAGGAAATGTGAGGATCTCTTAAGGTGAAACCAAAACCAAAACTACATAAATTTTGACTATAACTTTCAGGTCATTTAGCTGCTGACCAGCAATTATCATACATATAGTATTTGGCAAGTCTCAGTTCCTTGTACTAATCCCAGTAAAGAAATATGTCCAAAAAGACATACAGGTAGTGTAAACTGGGAGCATCTGATCCTTTGGCATCATAAGGATATTTCAGCTGATAAAAAGGTGAACAGATGGCTTCCACAGACTCAGTTTTGTTTTTCTTCTCTGACACTGTAAATATTCCAGACATTTGTTCATATATGTTTGGAAAGGTGAACAGCTGTGGAACACCTCTGAAGAACCAGATAAGTAACAGCTGGATTTTACATTTTTCAGAAATGGGGGTTCTGTTCATATTTGAGTCTTTATCCTGGCAGCCTTCAGAAGGGTCCTGGGTACAACCTGATACTATCTCAGTCCCTGAGAAGGCCTAGTTTGAAGCCAACTCCCATGTTTAATGACCAAATGCCTCTTTTTCTGTTTGATTTGTTTGCTTGTTTTTCACTGACTAGGAATTCTGAGAACTGTTGGTCCAATATATCTGAGGGCACCAGTTTGGAGAAGCCTTTAATACACGATCAATAATATAATTGCATACCATATGGATTTGGGGAAAAAATGTCAAGATGACTGATATAAAACATGAGCAATGAGTCTTTGCAATTCTTATTCAACCTGCAAAGTCTATGCAAAATAGTTTTTGGCTTTACAATTTATTGAGAATTTATTCACAAAACCCACTGAGATCTTCTTTGTTGCTCTTCAGATAATAAACATTTACTCATTTTTATCTAAAAATAAATGTTTTTATAACCTGAATTGACCATCCAGTGTACTGGCACGCATGGGGTATTTATTTTATTATGAGGGAGGCATGAATGGACAAAACAATATATAATAGACTAAATTATCCACAGAAGCATTTGTGAAATGTGTCCCAAGATAGATCAAATTGTGACCTTGCCTAATTCAAGAAGTGGCAAGGAAGGGAAAAGGCAGGAGATATCATAAAGAAAATACCTTTTTAAAAAAATACTCAAATGAATTGAGAATGACACCATTTACTACTTGTCACAAAATCTAAGCAATTATTTGAATCAGTTTCATTCCTCTATAAAACTAATACAGGATAAAACTGAATAACTAAGCAGCTTTTTTTCAACATATGGAGAACACATGTTGTCTACCCTCCACCTTAGTGTAGAGGATGATACGATGACAGTTCCTTCTGTGATGCTTGACTTCTGATGGATCATTTGTACATGCAAAAAATTACTTAGAGCTGTAGTAACTTAGTGATAAATGTGCTTCTTAATCCAAGGCATAGAGTCATGCAGTAATCAAGAGTACTTGGGAATTATCTGATTAAAATACCACAATTTTGAATTGATTAGATGGTTGTAAGCAAGCTACCATTCTCTTCATCCACAGCCTTATTTAAATTTGGGGTGGGAAAAGGTGCTTGAAGTATTTAACTGGCTGTTTCTTAAATGCATTTGTGTTAAAGAGAAATGCAGTTGAATCTTTTCTAAATGAATTTTCAGTTGCATTTGTTTCATCCCTCTTGGTCTTCAACTTCTAGTTTCTTTTGGTTGTTGCTGCTACTGTTGTTTTCTGGCTTACCCTGTCTCTTTTCTGCTACTTCCAGGGAAACGTACAAAAAAAGGCATGGCCACAGCTAAACAAAGGCTTGGGAAGATTTTGAAAATTCATCGGAATGGGAAACTTCTCCTTTAAAATCCGGTCATAATTGGGACTATCAAAGTTCAGCATATCCTGAGCTGTCACACTAACTCTTCAACTCTTGAAGGACTCCAGTAGTATTGTGCAACATCTTAGGGACAATACCAGTTAACTTTTTGCCACCACTTTAATAAATTCTTTTTAACTTTCAGCAGTTAAAACCTGTACAGATACTGCTATAAATATTTTTTAATATAGATGTCCTTTCTCAAATTGCTGAGAGTGACTAGTTCGCAAAAAGTTAATACTCCAAGACACTGAGGATCATTCCAGTTTTAGGAAAGTATCCCCTTTAACTTGTTTATAAGTGAAGAAAAAGCTGTTGTTTTTAAGAGTATGCACATTCGTTTCAGTTACACTTCTTTTATCAAAACTGAACCAATTTTAAAGAGGTATCTGGTTAAGAGGCAGAGTTTTTAAAAAGTTCCTCAAATTGACTTTTAGACAAGGGAAAGAAATTTCTGCCATGACTATTTGTGATATAACACATGCATGGAACAATATGCATAATAAAATATCTAGTTTTCTTTATCTGGCTCATGATAAATATGATTTGTTCAGTAGAGAAGTTAAAATTGCACTTCAGCACTGCTAAAACTTTCCCTATAACCAGACATTGGAGAACTGTGGATAAATTAATTTATTTTATGTGCAATGCAAGATGAATTCTTAGACATTATGGATTACAAATCCAATTTAATTGGGTAATGATTTGGATGTCCTGTAGGTAAATAATGAACTGGTGCAGTTCTTTGGAAATCAGTAGGGTTTTTTTTTTAAAATTAGCTTTGGTTGGTGTTGGATTGCAACCTTTTCGCTGATAAATTTTCAACACTCCCCATTTCTTATATATATATTTTGTGTTTTACTTTAGCCCCTATGGTATATTTCCCATGCTCAATGTCTCTGTTCTCATAATTGAAAGTCAATAAGTGATAGGAATTAAACATCAGCAAACAGTAACAACCCTCCTCTCCCTGCTAAAATCTCACAGTTATGTATAATTGAGTAAAACATTACAAATGAATTGGTACCTAAAAATCAAGATCTGAAAACACTGACTCTTGACTGTACTTGTATAAGATGGTTTACAACCTACAGGGGCTAAAGCAAAATCAAGCCAACTATATTATATCTTAGTATGTTGTGTGAACCAGGCCATCAACTTAAGCCATCATGTTGTTTGCTTTGGCTTCACATATTATGTGAATAGAGCCACTGTAGTTTTGTAACCCATAGTTCACAGATTAATGTGTTTACATCCGGTCTGAATTTGATCGTTTCTTTTCTCTTTCTCTCTCTCACCTGTTCTAGCTAAAGTTTGTTTACATGACCACGGAAACTGGAAGTATTTCTTCCCCTGTGCCAGTAAATCCAGCATAGCTGTTTTGAAATTATCCTCATTAATTTCCAGCATATGGAACTCTGTATGACATGGCAGGGTGGAATCAGCCATTAACATTGTAGCTTCTGCGTGGGTGCTCACAATGCACTGATAACATGCAAAATGAGAGAATATGTAGGAGAAGAGATGCCACCGTTTCATCCTGAGATGATGCTGCCAGCACCCTTGGCCTGCAAAGGGACAGAGTCTCAGTTTTAGTTGTGTGACCTGAGTGGGTGGCAAGCATATCACCAACGTATTATAAGGTGGCATCCTTAGTCAAATATCCCCTTGCTTATTTTTTGAAAGGGCTTTTGATCTTTGCACCTACATTCATGACTACCTTTTGCCTTATAAATCATTTATGTTGTCCTGAGATGAAACAAATGAAGACAAAGGTATTATTCACCAGTGGCTCTGTTTTTTCACCTTTAGTTCCCTGGATCATGGATTAATCCCTGGATCATGTAAACAAACCAAGCAAAGAAGTTGTTGTCCTGGGACCACAAGCACTTACCTTCTGCCCTATCACCAAACCCTTTCCTTTGAGCTGCATATCAGGAGAAAAAGTGCCCCAACAAAATTGTTTTTTTCAGAAAGGAACCCACATAAAACGTTTTAGTGCTTGTGAACCCCTTTAATAATATAAAATAATGGATCAGCCATTTGTAGAAGCCTCAGTTGCAAGCCATGTAATGAGGTGGAAAGAATGTGCAGCCCTATCAGAGAGGTATTGGAAGCTTGTGACCTTCATATCAAAGCACTTCCTTTCAGATATGCTCGTCTGAAGGAACAAGGGCTGTGCCCACCTAGGGGTCAGGCCAGATGAGAGCCAAGCTTATTGACAGTTGAACTGGATACTTGTTGCTTTTGAACTCTCTTAGTGTTTGGTGTAGAATGCATTATATTTTACATTAAACTTGCTTGTCTGCATATAAACACTTAGAGCACAATCCTATGCATGTTTACTCAGATATCAAACCTGTTGTGTTCCATGGAACTTAGTCTCATGTATAGAGTACTATGTACAGGATTGTAGCCTTAAGGCGTTACATTTGTTTCTCAGGCAATTCCAGATTTTCATTTATAGATATGTGTCTGAAAGCATATTTTTTCATAGAATCTAGCCTGTAAATAGCTTTTTAAAGTACCTTCTTTTTTATAAGATCAAAGTATCTTTAGACATTTCTTTCTATAGAATAGTTCATTAACCTTTATACAAATTTTTTGCTGAGTATTTTGCTGGGTATTTTAGGTTCTTGACTCTGAAAGAGATACTCTGTTTTTGTCCTTGATTTAAAAATTACTTTTTTCTCCCTTTTTTAATTTTGGCATTGCCTGAAAAACAAGTAAAATTTTGTGCAGCCTTATACAGAATCAAATAATAGTACAAAATTATCTATTTAAGATACAATATGAAGAAGAATCTTCGACTTTATAATACCAGCTCCTTGTCTCAATTCTTGTATTATGAGGGGATACAATTATTTTATTAGCACCTTGTGAAGTGTTTCTGTGTTTTGTGATGATGTAATTTATTAATGTTTGTAGCTTTTTATATTTGTACATTTCTTATGAGCTTTGTTTATATACACATTACCTGGATGTGATGTCCATGAGGAAAAAATAAAACAGCTATAGAAAACAACTGAGGCCTTATTAACTAACCTTTCTAGTTATGGTGGGAGACTGGGTCTGAATTCTTGGCGTCAAAAATGTTAGTTGAATAGGGCCCCAGGGTTAAGCAAGTTTTTTAAAGCTTCCCTAGTATACTGTTATTGTCAAGCATTTATATAACGCAGACATCATGCTGGTTTTATTATTATTATTATGTTTATGATTATTATTTTCACAACATGTACATTTCTAACAAAGTTTATTGTGGCTATCTATTACAGTGTTTTATTTACCAGTTCATATCAAATGCTCTTGTATCAAGTCCATGAAATCTAAGTAAACTTAGATCAAAATTTTAAAAGTAAAATATTTCAGGTTTTGTATAGAATTGGTGTTGGTGTGTTTATTTATATTCTACATTTAAATTATTCTTCACCAGTGACTGAAGAGCATTCCCTGCTTTGTTGCTCTCAGAACTGGTTTCCTGCCAAAGCATGCCAGCCCTTCAAGGCACATCTTCGGCTAGAAGTCAACGTGGCTTGATCAGTGGAGGCCAGGATCTGAATCCTGGTAAGATTGATGGTAGTTCTTGCTCCCAGGAAATGATAGTTTGCCGTGCTAGACAACCTCAATAAAGGAACAAATATACCAGCTTCCCAAGTCACTTATTTTAAAAGCCATTTCACTTCCTGGACAAAGATAATCACAGTGGCATTTATTTCTTACTTGTTTGTGTATTATTCAGCCAGTGATGCATTCACTTTAATCTCACATTGCACGGAGCTTGTGCTTATGCTGGGCTGTGCTTATGCCTAGCCCAGCACAGCAGTGCCTAGCTGGTGCCATTTTACTCTATTCCAATAGTAAGGAATGTATGTAGCTCAGGGTGGAACTGTTGGGTTCTTGGTGTTCTCTGAGCTTCATTGCTTTCTGGCAGACATTTCATTACCCGACTAGGTAACATCATCAGTGCAAGGGAGAGTGGGGTTTTCTGGCCATTTATATATAGCTTGCCCTGCCAATTTCAACTGGGAAAATGTTGACATTCTAGACCAGTGTTTCTCAACCGTGGCAACTTTAAGATGTATGGACTTCAACCCCAGCATGCTGGCTGGGGAATTCTGGGAGTTGAAGTCCATACATCTTT